ATACAACAGAAATATGTACCTAATCCTTGGATCACAGCTCAAAGTAATGTTGCAAGATTTAAAGTTTAAATCCTTTAACCTGGGCTTCCTGAAACCTTTCATTGCACAAGGACGGTCAAGAAATTGTAGGAGCAGGTTCATACATTCTTGTTCATCCCTTGATTTTGCAGTGCCTAAACATGGGTAAATCGGTTGCTCATCTTTAAAAATATTGCTATATTGCTGACTGCTGTTTGCCTGGCAGCTAAGTGCGCAAACTGTTTTCCTTGAAAAGTTCTGGTGAGAAGGTGCATCAGGTGGAACATCTCATTCAACCATGAAGATTTTCCTTTGATGCTGCAATCAAGTGATCTTCATGCATGGCGAAGCAGATTCAAAGCTCGGTCCTGATATCTACTGAAGGTGCAGCGTCTCCACAGTGACAGATTTTGCCTGACATTATGAGGAAAGCATCAATCCTGTGGACACCACTGGATGCAAAATTGGCATGGCAGGACTGAGCCATTTAGGTCCTGCATGCCTTGCAGGAAACACTGCACACAATCTCCTTCAGGTCAAGCTCAACTTCAGGTGACTTGGACACATCAGTGTCATTTCCTTGCAATCATACCAAAGTGGTTAGCAATTGTCGTTTTCCAGATTGTGTTTTTGTCTTCCCAGTCTAGCTTACAGCCCTGGAATTCCCTGATGCTGAGGTCCAAGCTAGCTTTGCTTCCAAGCCAAGGTTAGCCTAGTGTTACTATCAGGCCTGCCTACATCATACCTAATGAAGTTAATTGACCTAACTTGATTCCCAGAAAATTTGTTAAAGATCCAAGGAGAGGGGGGCCAAAAAAGAAAGAAAGACAGTCGCTTTAATTATTTCTTGCCAGCCCAAAACAGGCCAGCTACAGCAAACTGCAGATGGTTTGTTCTCAGCCAGAAATTGGCAATTACCGATAGGAAACAAGGTGGCTGAGTTGGCTGGCTTGTTTTTTGCCAGCAAGCGAGGAACAAGATGTGGTTTACATTGTCTGAGCATGTGCAGCGATGTCACTATGGAAGCCCCCACCCCCACATTGCCATGTGCAGCACATGAAGGAGGGGTTTCAGCACTGCACAGTACGGCTTGCCGCTTTGTTGTGGTCACCCCTGGTTGCCACTGAACTGGACAGAGAGCGTCAGAACAGTTGACCTCTGGATGGAACTGTTATACCTCAGAGAGACAAAAAGGTATCGAGCTAGTGTCAGAAGTCCCCACAGCTCTTGCCTTGGTTTGTGGGCCAAATCATCCACATGATCGGGAAGTTCTTTGCCAAGGGTCTCTGGAAGAAGGAGAGAAAAGATTCCACCAAGGACGGCTGCACTTCCGAAGGTCGCCACGGGGAGAGAGGTGTGATATTTCCCCAGGAGACCAACCAATGGGGAGATTATTCCAGCCACCCTGGATGTCATCTGGCATACTCCAAGTCCAGTCTGCCTGTTAGGGAAGCAGAACAGAGGAGTGGGTGAAACAGGGAGAAAGAAGCAGCTTTGTCCAACAGGGTGAACATTCTTTTGCTGGATTTCTTGAAGATGGTCGTTTCCCAACAGTTCAGGAGTCTGGTAGCAACTTTTCCGACACATATGTTTTATTAAAGGGCAGAAGCAGCTGCAACTCACAAAAGGTGCGTCGGAAGAGGTGCCACCAGGCTCTTCCTGACTTTTTGCCACTGTAGGCTAACATGGCTGTCCTCCTAAAATGTCTATGACAAGAAGCATCCTGTCACAACAGAAGGCTTTTCTCTGACAAGTGTTCTCCTGAGTCCTGTCTTTGCACCAGCAGAAAACAAAACAGATGTAGATTTGGTTCCCCCCTCGCCAATCCACTATCTCTATCCTGGTTTGCATGGAGGATGGTGTCCTTCAAGGCAGAAAGCCTGCCCTCCCATCACTTTCCTAACATCACAAGCCAGTGGGAAAATCCTCATAGCAGTGTGATGATTGACAGAAAGTTTTGACAGAGGGCTAAACTCTCCTTGCTTTCTCTTCCCACCTCCCCCAGCCTCAGATCACCCTTGAGTGGCTGGTAACCCGAACAGCAGCTGACAGTCCCAATGTGGGGGGAGGGCTGTGCTGTGAAGTACAGAGAGACAGCAGGACCCCTCTCTCTGCAGCCCCACTTCCACTGCCACCACTGGTCTTGTAAGAATGGTGGAAACCCCAGTTTGACAAGGTCTTCTGATGATTTGTCTGTCCAAAGAATGATAACCCTGGAGGATCGCGCTCAGAGACTGGAGAGGTGGAAGGGAAGTGCCTATATGTCAGTCTCTTGATGTAGGGCAGGTCAAGAAACACACACTGCAGGGATTCCAGGAGTATGACTTTATTGTTGTAGGGTATTGTAACAGAAATTTGAAAGCCTGTCCAAAATCTTTCCTGTTTCTTTTGAAAGACAACAAAGTCAAGTTGGGGCTGTTCTGAGTCTCTCTATGTCAGCCATACTAGGTAGACCAGACAGGAAACACGACCAGATGAGCTAATTCTACTTTACATTACTACTACTACTACTACTACTACTGTTACATTAACAGAATCATGCAAGTCTGAAAATATTTCTCTCCCCCCATCCCCTTTACAGCCCAAAAAACTAGGGAGGGTCCCTTCTGAGCCTCTTTACCTGCCCACATTCCTGCTGTGGGCTCAGCTGCCTTTTATCTGACCGTTCCCTTGGCTGCGTCTCTTTGCCCAGTCTCCCACATACCATTATACTTTCTCATGCTGTCTACTTTCCCAGAGCTGAGCAACTGTTTCATCTCTCCCTCCTTGTCAAGGCATTCATTCCTCTACACTATAGCAGCCTACACTGATCAGTAGGAGCTGGGCAGCCCCCCGGACTACCCCATCAAAGGCATAGTCAATGAACCACATCATCTGGCACCCTGAGCAAAACTTAAAATAGTGCCTGCTTAGAGGGAAAAAATATTACTTTAACCCTGGAAGAACAAAGGACACCTTAAAGTTCTCTTGGTCTGGGCTAGAGATGAGATGAAGGCAACATCATGGGGACGTGGTGGGGAAAAAGTTGCCTGTGGTGTTCTTCGGTACATGTGGGGAAACCCCCACAGAATTGTGTTTATTTCTGGTGGGAGAAAACTCATTATTTGAGAACCATTGCCATCCCCTTATTTTTAACAATACAGTAGAGTCTCGCTTATCCAACATAAACGGGCCGGCAGAACGTCGGATAAGTGAAAATGTCGGATAACACACAGTAATGATTGAGTGTGGTAAAAAAAAAAATAAAAGAAACCAATCCACATACAATAACAAACTACACTGAGCGACCATTAGGAAAGGCGAGACATGGCCGACACATGAATCATAGGCTAGACGCGCACGCCTGCTGCGCCTGTTGCAATCGATTTTTGCGTTGCGGCGCCGCACCGTCAGGAGCAACATGAAAGAGTATACTCACGCTTGCAAACAAGCGGCACACTTTTCTCGTCGCCAATTTATGCATGTTGTGTTTTTT